AATTATTAAAAAAATTGTTTTAATTTTTTAAATTATCAATAATATATCTAAAAATGATAAATTGAAATAATTATACAATATTAATTATATTTAATATTATGTTATTATCATTAATAGAGATAATAATAAGTATATTTTGTATAATAATATTTAACATAATTTTTTTAAAAATTAAATATATAAGAATTAAAATTAATTATTTGAATATAAAGATTAATTTTAAATTTGATGAACTAAAAATAAATTTATCTAAAATTTAAATAATTAAAAATATATTTAAATCATTTTAATATTATGGAGAGAAAGAGTGAGGAGGAAAAAAATATATATTACGTTTTCTTATTAACAAATATTAAAAACTTAATATTATATGGAGCGAAAGGGACTGGCAGTGGAGGTGCTAAATATGGATTTGGTAGCCACTTTTTAAGTTCAGCATCTTTTTAGAATTTAGGAGAGCAATCCTTGGGAGAAAAAAAAGGTGCTTGGCAATATGTCCATTAAATTAAAGGAAAAAGGATTCTGCCACAAGTTTTGTACTATCAATTAATCAGTTATATATTGTTAGTATAAAAATTTTTTACACTGACAACTAATCATATATTTTAATAGTGCTATATCAGTTACTTATTTAATAAAATAATAATAAAATAAGTAACTTTAAAAGATATAATTAATTGTCGGTGTAAAAAATTTTATACTGACACTCTGACAGTGTATAGATGATTAACTCATCTTTATTTATATTTTTTTTGTTATTTTTAAATGTTTTGTGTTTTATAATTATTTTTTAATTTTCAATTATTAAAATTATTAAAGTTGACTTAATGATATGACATTAAAAAAATATTTACATAATATTAAATTTAAATCTTATTATTATTCTTATAATTCTTATGAATACCATAAATAAATAATATAATTGGTGTAAAATTTAAAACGGAAAAAATTCCATGACATTTATTAAAAGAGTATTTAATTTTGGTTAGAGATAAGTTTTTTCATACTCAAAAATCAGAATCTTGCCTTGTGTATGCAGTCGCATTAAATTTTGGAGCCAGTTATCCCACTCTTTGAGGTGTCTTTAACATAACAAAGAGATTAGTCATTATTATCGGCGGTGAATACTCCAAGGACGAATAAAAAAAAACCCTCAAAAATCAGAATCATATTATAAATCTTGGGATCATAATTCCTAAAAATAATTAAAAATAACTAAAATATGTTAACATAAATCGAACCATCACTTATGAATTTGAAATAAAATAATATCATGACATTTCCATATGAAATTGATATCGAATAGTAAAATAGTAATCAATAATCAAATTGAACTAACTTATAATTCAATAACGATTTCAGTAAAATAAAAAATTCAATAATGATTAATTTATTAATTATTTGTAGTACAATCGCTAAACATTCTACGAACATGTATTATAAAATTAAATAAATATTAAACACTGTCTCCCATTACATTTTTCTCTCTTATTTTATATTTTTTATATGAATTTGCGTTGGGTAGTGTAACCGATCCATAGTTTTACTAAAAATTCTTTAAAATGTTAATAGTTTATTATGGTCTCACATAAAGTTATATCTTATTTTAATATAATTTTAAAAAATATTGTTGTAAAAAAAACAATTATTTTTTTACATTATCTCCTATATTATAAGTATGTAGCCCTAATTTTTTTTTATTACGTTATCATGATGATACATTCTCTCATCAAATGGTCGTCACACCCCACTTCTTCAATTTATTATCCAGAAAAGTGAGAAAAGTTACCTGACGTAAAACAGCTTCCCAAACTTATTCTAAAACTATGATAGCCACGATTAGCATTTATAACTTAATTAAATTCTCATAAATAAAAAAAATCATAAACTGTTCATCTTTTATACAATACAATAGTCTCTTGTCAGAAACACTGCACTTGAATTAAAAAAGAAAGGGGGTAAGTTATGTTAATGTGGCGAGTCCGTGTCTAACGCGTGGCTTGAAGTTGGGGCTAAGTTGAAAGTGGGTTTGAGAGTGACAAGGAAAATGAAAGAAAAGAAATAGTTAAAGCATTTGATATATAGATAAGGCTTAGTTTGGTTGGTTTGGGGAGGGTGGATGGGATATTTAGGTTAGTGGTGGAATGGAATAGAAGGTGTGCTTAGCTGGATGCACTGTGGTTTAGTTAATGATCGAATGAGTCCACTAAGGTAAAGTGAGTGATGAGTTGGTGACTTGCTAGAGATGAGGTTTGGAATTGATAGCAACTGCACTTGTCTTGTTTTACTATCTGTGGGCTGCTCACCACCACTGCTTCAACTTTGCTCCACACTGCCTTCTCTTTTTCACATACAATAAGTTTAGATTAGAATTAGAGCTCTCAAAGTGTGCTCGACCCGGTAGGTCAATCTGACTTAACATGGGTCGGGTTGGATTAAAAAAAAAATTAAAAATTTTAATACGGGTTAATTTTAAACTTGGTTCACTAACAATCCGACTCATTCAGGTTGAATTCGTGGTGAGTCGAACTAGCTCACCAACCCGTGATTAAAAAAAATACAATAATTATTGGGTCATGGTGCAACCCAACACGAAACAACAATGATTTAATATTGGATTGTGATTTATAATTTTTATGATTTGAGATTGTATTTGAAGTTTAAGATGATTTTAGATTATATTTGTCTATTTGAGATTATTTAGATTTGATTTGATTGTATTTAAAATTATCATTTAATGTTTGGAATGAATGATTCATTTATGAATATCTTAATTAAGAATCTCTGATTTTTAAAATAGGTTTGAGCTTTTTGGGTTTTTAGTTGTATATTAAGAAAAAAAGATGAAAAAAAGTTATTTTTTTAAGGTGAGTCAACCTGTTTAACCCACCAACCCATGAAGGCTCAGACCAAGTTCGATTTTTTTGAGTTCACTGATAAAGATAAATGAGCTGGGTTGAGTTGACTCACCAAATAATCAACCCGTTGTGAGCCGAGCCGAATAATCTGTTTTGACAGCTCTAATTAAAATAAGACACAATTTTATATAAAATCAAACTCTATATAACATTAGAGTTAATCACTAACTTCTTTTAAAAGAAAATTATAATAGAAAACTTGAAGAGATAAAATGGGTTATTTGATCTAGTGTAAGCCAACTCAAGTTATAAGTTATAGATGGGTGAGTAAAAAAATTATATTCTATTTGGTCACCAAAATGATGTCCAAGACTTATAAAGATTCAATATCGAGTGTACACCGACAATTAATGGATACATAGTGCATGT